GACCCACATAGTAGAAATACAGAACGACTGACTTCAGGTTGTCCTCTGACCTCGACGCGAGTGGTGTGGCATATGAATGAGCACTCACACATGTGTGTGCACACATGCTCTCTCATACATATAACGCAAGGGTGCTAAATTCAGTAGATACCAGTCAGGTCACTGAGATCCTACTGTAGCTGCTGTTGAAACATGCCTGACCATAGCAGAAGCTGGGAAGGGTGAGACCTGAATGCTTCCCTGGTGCTGATGAGGGTGATAATGTGGTGGACTCACTCTGGAAACTGATTGGGAAATTGTCATGGATTTAGACAAGTAGCTAGCTATAATTACAAAAGAAACAAAGCACTTCATCTACAAATAGTTCTTGATTGTCCATAGCAGCTTTATTCATAGAAGAACCCAACTTGGTAGAAGCAAATGTCAATCAAGAGAATAAATGCAGTGTATTCACATAGCATTCAGCACATGATCTGAAAGGACAGGTTACTGACATGCGCCGATGAGAGCGACCCTCATTATATTGAGAACAGAATAAGAATGTAGTGTGTGCAACTGTCTAGATGAAACTGGAACAGACAAAAGGACCACAGGAGTTGTTCTGGGAGGAGGGAGACCTCTGGCTGAAAGGGCACAAATGATTGTGTTGAGATTAAGAACCTTCTGTGATTTAACAGGGATGTGGGTAACAGGACGTGTATGTTTGTGTGGTGTCTGCACACATGTGGGAACCAGGGAGTGGGTAAGCCAGGTGTCTTGCCTGGAACGCTCTACCGTATTTCTCGGGACAGGACAGGATGTCTCCCTGAACCTAGAGTTGCAGGCAGTCAGCAAGCTTCAGAGACCCCTGTCTCCACCCAATCGCACGCCCAGCGCCAGGGGTTACTCCCGGCTGGTCTTTATGCTTGCACAGGAAGTAGTCCTGCACTGAGCCCTAACAAGTGCTTCTTGGCCATTTGGATTTTCTCTTTGGGTCTGTGGCCAGTGTGTTTTTAATGTGTGGTATTAAGCAGCCATAGAATTTCGTTGTGTTTTAAGGGATGTGTGATCAATCACCCGGCAAAAAGAGCTGGAGTTGTAGCCTAAGAGATCCTGGGATCCATGAGCAGCATGCGCCCCATTCTAATGAGATGTAGTGGCCAGGGAAGAGGCTTTGGGCATATGACAGCAGGAATAAATGAGAAATCTCTAACTTGCTTAGTTAGAGAACATAAAACTGTTGAGAAAGGTAAAGTGGGGTTTTTGTTATTGTTGTTGTTTGTTTTGGGGTTTTTTTATGTACCTCGAATGTTCAAGAGCATTTGCCCTACCTCCGTCCTTTCTTTTCTGTTGAATTCCCATACACATTTTCTTTCCCACTTCAAAAAGGTGAGCATATGGATCCAGGCCAGAAAGTACATATAACTCATGTCAGCCTCATTCCTGCAGGGAAGGACAGACATACTCCATGTTTCCTTTGGTTTCATCAAAACGTTTCACAGACTTTGGAATTTGGGTGTTGACACTGCTCCTTGCAGCCGCACTTACAGCTACTTAGATTAAATCCACCCTCAGTCCTGAATAGATTTAGAGCACTTTAGTCAAACAATAATCAGTCACCGTCTATTCTTATGTAGATAATTGCTTTTATAAATACCTGTGCCTGAAGATTACTTTGAGGGGAAGTTTGAAGTCCATCCTTCTTCAAAGGCAGTTGATACACTTTTTATGGGGAGGGGTGACACTTGCCACAGCACTCTTACAGAGGCCAGAAGATGACTTACAGGAGATGGCTGTCCTTCCATGTGGGTCCTTAGGATCAAATTGAGGTCACTAAACTTGGCAACAAGTGCCTTTTCCAGCAAAGCCATCTTGCCTGCCAGGTTGTTAGTTTGTTTTGCTTTGAGGCAGGGTCTCAGGTAGCCCAGGCTGGCCCCAAATTGATATTTATCAGGAAATGACCTTGAATTTCTGACCCCCCACCTTCACTTGCTAGGTACTGGCAATGAAGGCACGCACCGCCACACGGTTTCATGCTGTGCTGGAATTGGAACGTAGAGCTTCAGGCCAGCTAGGCAAGCACTCAGCCAATTGAGCTATCCCAGACTAATTCTTTACCTGTAGATTTGGAACCACTTCTTGTCCAAAGAATATAGGAACTGACTTCCTGCCCAAGACTGGACTATGCATGCTCCAGTGCCGTTGCACACATTGTACTAGGAAGGTAGAAAAAGAAACTATTTTTCTTGGGGCTGAGGGTGCTTGAAACAAAATCTTCCTTTGTGGCTTGGGCTGGCTTGAAACTCAGTTCTCCAGCTTTAGTCTGAGTGCCTGGCACTTTCTCTTTGAAGTCGGAGATAACACAGCCGGGACTTTGGAGACTAAGTACGGCAGGCTCCAAGGCAGTTCTGTGATGTTATTTTAAGCTTTCTGTAGTGATGTGTCTCCTCTAGCCTGTGAAGTGAAAATAAATGAGTAAGAGATGGCTAGTGTGTTCTGTCTGTTGATAACACCCATCGTCCAGTCTGTCTAGCAAGCCAATTATTTTCCTTTTCTCTGAAATTAAAGGCCAACGTATTTTCTGACAATGTAGGAATCTCTGTTCACCTGAAGTTTATATTGTCACTCAAAGCAAAGCAAAAATGCTGAAAAAGGAAATTGATTGATTTTAGCTTCATTATTGAATTTCTCCAAAGTTCAAACCCAAAATCATACCCATTTCCTCTGTGTATTCTTAATAGCTGAAATATTAAAAATCAACATTGGCAGTTTGGGTCTTCAAACTTTACTCTGGTATTTAATATTAATGACAGCATGTCTCATCCCCTGTCTGTGGCCAGCTTGAGGGGGTCACAGCTCTCTGGGGAGTGAGTGCTGCCTGCTGATACTCATACCCTGTGTGGTCCCATCTGGAATGTTCAGGTTGGGCTGCACACCTGAGGCGTTGATTACCTGCGTGCTGTACACCGTGGGAAATTGGCACTCAAGCCGTGACCTCAGGTGATCGGAACCTCTTAAGATCCCAACCAGTCACCTAACCCTCACCCTAGATTCCTAACCGTCAGATCCATGTGAGATAAAATGAGTATTATCTATGCTGCTGACTGGGGGGGGGGTGTTTGTTACGCAGCAACAGATACCAGGACATACCCCCCTAAAAAGCTACTTTCATTATTTAAGTTTTAGCCTTTGGTTTTGCTTCTTACTGTTTACAGTAAGTGTGTAGCCCATTTTCTGGGTGTTTGGTATCATAAATACAGCCTTCGGGTTGACCTTTTCTGTGTTTGGCCCTGTGGTAGAATTGCTGTGTGACTAGAGCCTTTTAGAAGTCCGTCCACAGTGCCTTGTCATTTCCAGGTGAAGCCATCTGTGTGGATTGTAATTACTGTGCAGGTGACTATGGAATTACTCTTAAGGACTCGGAGAGAAAGCAGACAGCCTAACAGCTGCTTTTAGGCTGAGGCCTCCTCAGAGAAGCTCCTATTACTCGGGACTCTGATGCTCATTAATTATACAGGATAATCACTGTGTGGGTTTTTAAAGTCATGTTTTTAGGATTAGTTAACTATATACCCAAACCTGGCAGACAGCTTCTCAGCAGAACTGATGTCCAGGTCGCCAGTTGTTCCCCGGCCAGAGGAGATGCTGGAGCTTCTCCCAGCCCTTTTTCCATTGCATTTGAAAAAAGACCATTAAAATAATTTTTTAAAGCTCCAGCTTATCCTATTTCTTTTGTAGTACAGAACCAATCGGTGACAGTAGTCATCCACTTACCACACTAATGATGCGGTCATAGTTACTGTAGAAGTGTGACCAGGGCAGGAGCTGTAGAAGACTAGATTAAATCCTCAGGGTAAGAGAAAGAAGAAAGAAATGGAAGGAAAGTGGGGAGGACTTAAGTTTTAGGCCTTGTGTGATGGCTCATGCCTGTAAATCCAGCCAGAATTCAAGCCAGCCTCCTCCCCAGTTAAGGACCTCCATATGCCAGTACACATGGGGATGTTTTAAAAGAAAGAATATTTTCAATGTAAGTAAATTTCTGTTTCTACTGTGTAAATATCATCAAACTGCTCCAATCATGTGTGACAGGGTGGCTGGTTTGTTTTGGACAGGATTTCACTGTGTAGCCCAAACTGACCTCCAATTCAGGATTCCCCCATCTCAACCTCAGGTCGGGGTTATGGGATGTGGCACCACACCCAGCCTCCCGGTTTTCTTAATAGTTTGCTTGTTGTTGCTTTTGTTGTTTGTTGTTTTTGAAACAGGGTCTCAAAATGTTGCTCATGCTGACCTCAAACTCACAGAGATCCACCTGCCTTTGCCTCCTGAGTGCTGGGGTTAAAAGTGTGCCACCATGCCCAGCCTCTGTAGAAACTGCTAATGCCACTCTGTTTACCCGCATGTAGTACTTTAACAGAAGAAAAGTGAGATAACCCTGAAGGTAACACAGACATTTGCGGGGGCGGTGAGCCCGAAGCTTCACGACAGGGACTTGGGAGGCAGGCTGGCTAGTTTTAAGTCTCAGTCCTGACAGTTGACTAGCTGAGGAACAAGCCTCTTAGTAATGGTTTTCTCATCTGCAAAATGGAGATGATTAGTGCTACTTTATAGGGCTGTAAAAGTGTCCAAGTTAATATGGCCATATCTCGGCATTTGGGAAAGTAGAGGCAGGCGAAACTCTGTTAGTTTGAGACCAGCCTGGTCTACAGAGTGAGTACCAGGACAGCCTCCAAAGACACAGAGAAACCCTGTCTCGAAAAACAAACAAACAAACAAACAAACCAATAAATAGATAAATAAGGCCATATCTGCTTTGGATAATGTCTAATTCCTAGTCAGCTCCTTGTAATCATTATCACACTGTCCCACCTTCTGAAGTTGCCTGCTTTTTGTGAGTCACCTGATTTGTAGTGAGATTTACACCAATGCTACCACATTTAATATGTAAGTACTGGTTGTGGCACATTCCTCGCTTTAATGGTTTTGTTGTGTTCTTTGTTTTTGTTTTTTCTTATTCTCAGGCCCAACACAGAGATACTTTCATTGAAGAACGCTATGGAAAATATAACATCAGTGACCCTCTAATGGCTCTTCAGAGAGATTTTGAAACACTAAAGGAAAAAAATGATAGTGAGAAGCAGCCAGTGTGCACAAACCCCCTCTCCATCCTCAAGGTGGTGATGAAGCAATGCAAGAGCATGCAGGAGCGAATGCTGTCCCAGCTGGCGGCTGCCGAGAGCAGGCACCGGAAGGTAGGCTCGCCCATAGGCAGGGGCGTGCTTCAGAAATCTTCAGAGGACTCAGTAAATCATGCCGTCCTGTCAGCCACCAGTGTTCATGGGACTCTGATGGGGCAGGGGACCTCTTGGTATCAAAAGGCCCTTCAGTTACACAGGAGCCAGAAGAACACAAAGGCAGTACAGATTATTGCACAGGTTCAGTTTAGGGATCAGGCCAGACATTACTGAAGGAGACATTCCTTCTTGGTATGTCACTCCAGAACACTTGGTGCATTTCTTTTTCCAGATCTCAATCTTCCATACTTTGGCAACAAGTGAGTGCTTAGCCAAGCTTGTAGTTGAACATAGCGTTCTCTGTTTGCTTACTTAAGTGATAAATAAAAGAGATTAACAGGTATTTAGGGAAGAAAGAGTATAAATCTACCTGATTGTAACCATGCAAGTGGAGATTGTTTCCATTCATTCTAGTTTTGTGTTTCATTACATGCTGTGAAGCCATAGACAGCTCCTAGGATAGCTTGCTTTTAAGTTTTTCCTATATTGGAGTGGGGGGGGGCAGGCTCTCTCGTTCTGTCTGATAGCTCCTAAGTAAAAAGGGCAAGCCTGCGCTCCCTGCATTCTTCATCTTTTAGAATTCTCGTGTGTGAACACTTGTTTCTCAGCTTGTCATTTACTGCTCAGTTTTGGCCTGCAGACAGTGTATGACAAGAATCTGCATTAAAAAAAAAAAACTACCAGTTTAGATTTGGGTCTACAAGATAGGCATCAAGAGTGTTTTGTAGGAGACATTTTAACCAAAAAAAAAAATGAGGTCAGCAACTGCAAACTTAGTAGACATTGGTTTGTTTCCATAGATATCTCTGCAAGAGCTCTATGCTGAAGCCACATCTGGTGAATTGACCCCAAGCTGGGTCTCCTTGCCTGTCAGCCTTTGTTTCTCTTTATGGAGTATAAAGGATGGGTCCTTAGTCATGGGTAGGCCACAGATGTCCCACAAGGCCTCTGAAATACATAAAATGTCAGAAGTGTATGCATTTTTGTGGAAAGTGTATTTTTTTTCTTCTTTTAGTCAAATTCCAAAAGTTGCCTAAGACCTCAAAGAGTCTAACCAAGAATGTAGCATCTAGAACATTTGTTCACATGAACTAAGAAAATCTTCACCAGATCCTTGAGTGGTGGGCAGGCCTTGTTCCCTCTTCATACAGGAAGTAATTGAGCTGGGCTGAATGACGTAGATGTCATGGAAGGTATAGTGAGTGTAGTTTGCAGGTTTGGGTGACTGGAGAGAAGAAAAAGTAAAAAACAATTGAAAATTCCTTGGTATGCTGACTGTTTCAAGTGTAAAATGTTAAGAAGCATTATTTTTGTTTTGTTTTGTTTTGTTTTTGTTTTTCGAGACAGGGTTTCTCTGTATTGTTTTGGAGACTGTCCTGGAAGAAGCATTACATTTTTGAAACCGTAATCTACCTGTTTGTTTGTCTAGTTTCTTGAGACAGGGTCTCATGTAGCCCAGAGTGACCTCAGTTCCCACTGTATCACCAAGGATGGCCTTTACTATGTGGGAAGGGTTGAAGGGTTGTATCACCATGCCCAACAAAGTACCTGTCTGTTCTTGGGTCTGTTACCGAAGTAGGGCACTAAACTTGTCAGAAATCAGTTGGTACTTAGAGGTCTATAATTAGAGTAAGCTTACAGTCCAGTCTGAATTTGCTGAAGATTCCCAGTGTCTACCCTTCACCTCTGGGAAAGATTAGGATCTGAACAACAGGTGATGCGGTCACACTGCTTGTAATGAAAGGAGAGTTCCTCAGTCATATCTTCTCCTTGCCCAGCCCCTACCATGCAAAGGTAGCTTTATCTTTGTGGATTCCTGGAGCTCCCGTTAGGCTTGAACTCACTATGTAAGTGAAGATGACCTTTCAACTGTACCTCCCAAGCACTGAGTTTACAGATATACTCTTCCTTGAAAGTATCTGATCTTCTGAAAATTCACTCTGAACCAGCCTCCCACAAGCACCTGCTACTTCCAGGTCCCAGCTCTTTGGGATCCTAAGGGTAATAGGCTCCCTCCACCTTACTGAATACTGCCTCTCCTCAGACTCTTTTCCTACTTCAGGATGTTATTAAAACTGCCTGTCTGGGCCTGGAGAGCGGCTGAGCAGTGAAGAATGCTGTTGCTCTTCCAACGGCCCAAGTTCAGTTCCTAACACACCCACATCAGACAGCTCACAAGCACCCGTAACTGCAACTCCATAGACTCTGATCCTCCGTGGGCAACCACACCAATGTGGTACACACACATTCTCACACATAAATAAATAAATAAATAAATAAATAAATAAATAAATAAATAACTCTTCCAAAAACCCCTTTCTCCTCTGCTAAAGCCTCTCCCGTCTCTGAGACTTTGTAATTTATTTCATTCCTTTCTGCAATTTTAAAGGGCTCTCAAGAGAGGATAGGTAAACATGGCTACCAAAAAGGTTTAACCAAAAACCCTTCTATTAAATTTAAAAACTAGATTTTTTTAAGCCCCAAAGCTAAAGTGTTTCATTTTCATAGTTTTTGTTGTTATTTATTTGTTTTGGGTTTTTTTTGTTTTTGTTTTTGTTTTGTTTTGTTTTGTTTTTTGTTTTGTTTTGTTTTTTTTTTTGGAGACAGGGTTTCTCTGTGGCTTTGGAGACTGTCCTGGATCTAGCTCTTGTAGACCAGGCTGGTCTCAAATACACAGAGATCCTCCTGCCTCTGCCTCCCGAGTGCTGGGATTAAAGGTGTGCGCCACAACCAGCTGGACCATTCCTAAAAACTTTTGTGAGATGAAGCCGTGAGAAATGGCCATTGAGGTAGCTGACAGTGCTGTGTCCTGGAGGTCTGGCCTGAGCCACCTCTGAAGAAGAAGCTACTGACTAATACATTCCCATCTAGGATATTGTGTGGTTTGGGCAAAATTACATGGGAAGTGTCCCCTTGTGCTTGTATTTTCCTTGAAACTGGTTTGGATCCTTGAGCACCAGGATAAAATGCCAAATCATTAAGAGTTTTGTGAAGAAAATCACCACTTAGGATCCCAATATTTGAGCCTTCTGCGCATAAGATGAAGTAGGAGTCTTCCCTGTTTTATCTGGGCATACAAAAATAGGTATTATTAGTTAAGTAAGGAACAGGACAACCCACTTGAGATGTTTAATTTCAACGATAGTATTGAGAGGAACACCTCAGCCTTGTATAGTCACACACACACACACACACACAGTAGATCCCTAGTCATACCAAACTGCATATGATTCCCCAGACTTCTGCTAGTTCTCAAACCTTCTCAACCCCCACAGCTAATTAGTTGCTCTCGTCTCTGTTTGCATTCTTCTGCACATACTTCAGCAAAGCAAATATCTTGTTTTCTAGCACATAGCTTACATGTCTTTCACCCTTCTAGACAGCATGCTCCTTAACGGCCCTGGCTGGATTTCATTTATTTATGTAATCTGGAACCCTCGAGTGTTGAGTGGTATTTGAAAGTGAATGTTTTAAAATCCTTTGCAGGTGATCCTTGACCTTGAAGAAGAAAGACAGAGGCATGCGCAGGACACCGCTGAAGGAGATGATGTCACCTACATGCTGGAGAAGGAGAGGGAGAGACTGACACAGCAGGTAACTCAAGAAGAAAGATCATGATGGCACTTGCCTAGAGTGGCATTTCTTAGGTTCACTGTCAGTCTGCCAAGTTACATTGTAAGTCCTCAAAAAGAAGATAGAATGTTCCATGTTTATCATGTCTATTTCCAAAAAGTCTTCTTTTTTTAAACATAGATTACTTGGGGGTTGGAGAGATGACTTAGTGCTTAAGAACACACACTGCTTTTGCAGAGGACCCAAGTTCCCCACATCCACATCGGATGGCTCACTGCTCCCTGTAACTCCAGCTCTGGGGGATCTGAAGCCTCCTCCCGTCTACAGTGACACCTGCACTCACATACACTTAGCTCCCAACATGCACCCACAAGTACGTACAGTTTTAAAGATAAAGGAAGCATAGATCTCTCAGTGGAACTGTCATTTATAGCACATACTTTAGAGGTCTCTGATTTTCAAGATTTTTTGTTGTTTCACAATCTACAGTAGCAGTGTGGCCTGTCACAATCCAACATGCCTAAAGCAAAGATTGCAGGACACGTAACAACCCTTTGTTCCTATACAGTGATGTTGTCAATCTTTTAGACATGGGCTCACTATGTCATTCAGGCTATCTTTGAACTCACACTGTTTTTTTTTAAGTATGATCATGACTTGCTGAATTGATTTCCCCATCCATTAATGTATCTCATTTTGGAAATCCCTGACTAGAAGGGTTCGAGTCACTCTGTCTCCTCTCATTCAGAGTCTGTGTGATAATGTTAGACAGTAAGGCAAACTACATGCATGTAGACCCAAGGATGGTTGGTGGTGCATGCCTCTAATCCTAGCAGTTGGAAGGAGGATTTGAAGTTCAAAGCAAGTCTCAGAGTAAGACCTTGTCGAGCCGGGCGTTGGTGGCGCACGCCTTTAATCCCAGCACTCGGGAGGCAGAGGCAGGCGGATCTCTGTGAGTTCGAGGCCAACCTGGTCTACAAAGTGAGTTCCAGGACAGCCTCCAAAGCTACAGAGAAACCCTGTCTCGGGAAAAAAAAAAAAAAAAAAAAAAAAAAAAGACCTTGTCGAATGAAAACAGCAACTAAAGGAAGATTTAAGTGCAGCTACTTAACTTTGTTCTTTTTTTTTTTTAAGATCAGAGAAAATGATTTCAGGAACTTAAAGTTTGATTTTCAGCGGCTTCCATCCCCAGATCTAGCTTACATAGTGTTCTGTTATTTGTTTTGGCTGATTCTATGTTCACTCCACATACCTAAAACACAATGATGCATCATATTCCTGCTGTTCACCCCGAGGCAGTTAGGAACTCAAATGCCTCGTAAGTCATCAAGAAAAGATTAAATCATCATAGTATGTGGGGGTTCTGTGTGGGATGTTTTCATACTCCAAAAATACTAATTAAATTGAGCACCGTGGTGTTCCTGTTAATAGGGTGCACCAGAGAGCAGCTAGCGAGGGCACCCCACATGATCATAATTTTCAGTGCACCCTTTTGCTTTCCTACTCTAATCAAGATGTGTGGTGGCATTTTTTTTCCTAGTTGGAATTTGAAAAGTCCCAAGTGAAAAAGTTTGAAAAAGAACAAAAGAAGCTGTCTAGTCAGTTGGAAGAGGAGCGCTCCCGCCACAAGCAGCTCTCGTCCATGCTCGTGCTCGAGTGCAAGAAGGCCACCAGCAAGGCAGCGGAGGAAGGCCAGAAGGCCGGAGAGCTGAGCCTGAAGCTGGAGAAGGAGAAGAGCCGCACGAGTAAGCTGGAGGAGGAGTTGGCCGCTGAGAGGAAGCGAGGCCTGCAGACGGAGGCTCAGGTGGAGAAGCAGTTGTCTGAGTTTGATATCGAGAGGGAACAGCTGAGAGCCAAGCTGAACCGAGAAGAGAACCGGACCAGAGCCCTGAAGGAGGAGATGGAAAACTTGAAGAAGTTTGTGAGAGACCTAGAGGCTGCCCAGCGCCACAGTGGCACCAGTGAGCAGTGCAGAGAGCCAGTGACCACGTCCAAAGGCACAGCCACAGAGCCCCCTGTGCTAGTGTCTGTGTTCTGCCAAACAGAGAATGTTCAAATGGAGAGAAGCCACGGGGGCATCGCAGCCAAGCTGACAGACACTGGTCTCCCATGCCCCACCACTCCTGCTTACTCATATGCAAAAGCCAATGGCCACTGTGACCCAGAAATCCAAACAACCAGGGAGTTGACCTCAGGCAGCACAGAAAACCAAGGGCCTCCACGAGAGAAGCCTGTGGCATCGGCCCAGGAGAAACCAGTGGAGAATGGTGGGTGTCCTGTAGGAACTGAGGCTGCAGTCACAATGCCAAGTCACCTCCCTTCCAGTGGCAGCTCACTGTCTCCCAGCAGCACTGCCTCCTCCTCTCTGACGTCATCTCCCTGCTCTTCGCCAGTTTTAACCAAGCGTCTCTTGGGGTCATCAGTCAGCAGCCCCGGCTACCAGTCCTCCTACCAAGTAGGGATCAACCAGCGCTTCCACGCGGCTAGGCACAAATTTCAGTCCCAAGCAGATCAAGACCAGCAAGCCAGTGGTCTCCAGAGCCCTCCGTCCAGGGACCTGTCCCCTACCCTTTTAGATAACTCTGCTGCCAAGCAGCTGGCCCGAAACACGGTCACACAGGTGCTCTCCAGATTCACTAACCAAGGGCCAATCAAGCCTGTCTCTCCCAACAGCTCTCCCTTCGGTACAGACTACCGAAATCTGGCCAACACTGCCAACCCAAGAGGTGACACCAGCCATTCACCTACTCCAGGGAAAGTGTCCAGCCCTCTGAGCCCCCTATCTCCAGGAATCAAGTCCCCAACCATACCCAGAGCTGAGAGAGGAAACCCTCCACCAATCCCACCCAAAAAACCTGGCCTCACCCCGTCCCAATCTGCTACCACTCCAGTGACCAAAACTCCTTCCCAGGCATCGTCCTTGACCAGCACAGAAGACCTTGCCAGCAACTGCTCTCCCAGTGCTGTGGTGGCCAACGGCAAGGACGTTGAGATACTTTTGCCTAGCAGCAGCTAGTCCCTAGGAATGAGTCTCCAAACTTGACATTCCATCAAATGTCATCCAAGAGCTCAGAGTTAAACCTTGGAGTCAGACCATATTATTTATTTTGATAGTAGCTACAGCCATCTGTATAATACATTCAGTGTATTTCCTTTTTGTATTTTTTTTTTAGTAGAAACTGAGTACTTTGGGTTTTTATGGCTCACCTCTTTGTACTAAGCTAGGGGACCCCATAGACATCTCAAGCTCAGCAGTCACCAGCATGTTGTGATGGAGAAAGCTAATTGACAGTGATCTGTTGTCAATTTGGGAGCTAGAATTACTCAGCACTCATTTCAAATTATGCAGAAGTGGTTCTTGCAGATTTTTGTCCCAGATGAACATGCTTTAAAAGTGCCTGAAATAAGACTGCCATGTGAATGTGATTCTGCGGCAGAGCCAAAAGACAGAGCATTTATTGCAGAAAATGAGATCCTCTGAATCTGAATGTCGAAAGCCAACACTGCTTTTAATCCTCTCCAACTGTTCAATACCAGCTTTGTGTTCCGAACCAAGGTTTGCATAAGTGGAGTGGAAATCCTTCTAAGGGGGCGTGATCTCTGCCAGACTGAGCCTTGCGCTTCATTAAGCCCTTGAGAAACCCTCCTGAGCACTAAGCAGTTAGGGTGCTGATTTTCTTGTACTTTTGAAAAATTAAGTCATTCTCAGTTTCCTGCATCAGTTTTTGAACAGAGTGAAATCACATCTCCATTCCAAACCTCCTTCAAGCATCGACTGTTGGGAACTTCTGATTCTGGTTGCTTTTACTTGAATAGGAAATGACATAATGAGCTCTTTATTCTGTAATCAAAAAGCAATAACTTAAAAGTCACTCTTTGTAATATTGTAAGTCAGAATTATACAGGTTTTACCAAATTGTAACATTTATTCTCCATGCTGCCAGCACTTGTAACTGTGGAACCAAATTAACTTCTGCCCAAATGGAAGTATACATATATCTGTATAGTTACATGCCCCTTACATGTTCAACACTCACACACTTAAGCACATAAATATTAGTGTGATTGTATCTTTGGAGTTTGCAGTATAGCATAAAGGACAAGTAGAATCGCACGTTAAGATTACCTACCAAAGCAACTACACATGGCTTGGAGCCAGTCAGTCAACTGAGGAATCAATTTCACAAGGATTCCTTCATTTGGGGCAGTCCCAAAGGAAGCCCAAATCATTAGATCATAGAAAGGCACAACTAAACTAACTAGCCCTCATCTGGTCATACAAATGAATGAAACCACATACTCCTTCAAGTGCTGTCCACTGGTTTGGAGTAGAGGGAGATGTAGAAAATGACACTGTCACAGCCCCTTTGAGCCCCAGCTGCTGGCATGCAAAATTTCCAGACCAAGGTTACCAGTCTCCAAACTTTCGTGGAATTCAAATTTCCACAAGAAAGTTCTCATTCAAAATATTTCCATTTTTTAAATGCCAGGAACTGATTCGAAATGTTTTTAAGCACTGCTGATTAGACAAACATGACTGTGACTGACTTTAGCTTGTCAGCTACCAAGCTGCAACCTCTTTCATCCTAGAACTTCTGCTGTTTCCTTCAGTGTGACTTTGTATATACAGAAGCCTCCAGGCTTCTCTGCTGTGTCCACTACATCTGACCAAGTCCACAGAGCAGAACAGTCTCCCTCTTGGCAAGCAGAACTCTAGACAGACCAGCTCAGGACACTGGCTATACAGTTTTGTATCCAGAGTGGGAGAGAGGACGGCCTTGGTGTCTTTATATACATTCTCTAAACCAGCATCAATCCAGAAGCCCCTGACCTGCTGTAACCTTTTACTGGAAAGGGGAATGGGTGGTATAAGAAACACTTGATCATGTGTTTCAAAAGCCAAAGGATTCAGTGGACCCGTCCAGGTTAGATAATGCACAAGGAGTTAGACATTGGTTTTCTTGAAAAACATAGAGCTGCAAAAAAAAAAGTCTTCCCAAAAATGTAGTTGTTAATAATTTTTAATTCTATTTTTATTAACCCATTGAGTTAATGGGCAAGAAGCAGGCAATGAAAATCGGCACGACAACTCAACAGTGGAGTACACTGTTGACTCTACAGCTTATCTTTTGAATGGTTAAGGTAAATGCGTGGCAAGCGAAAATGCTGCTGAAGCCCTAGGGTATCTACCAAAACGATGGAGGCATGTGAAACTCCCCAAAGCAATCCAGCATTGAACGCATTCCTATTGCGGAGCCAAAACAGAGCAGTGATGGTCAAAAGCTGAACCTTCTAATCAGGAGAGACTCCAATGCCAGAACGCCCTTACCTCTCTTGCTTTAAATGGTAATCTTAAAAGTTGCATTGTACTCTTCCTCTGTTTGGAGATAGATATATATATAGAGAGAAATGCTATAAGGAAGTTTATTTCTTAGGAGGTGCACTGAACAATATTTCTTTTACAGTGTAATATGGGGGTGGGGATATGCAAAAGAAATGTGTATTTTTGCTAGTTGCCTATCTTCTGAGACAATAAGCACAATCCTGAAATGGATCCAATAATTCAGTTAGATGTTATAGATTAGTATTTAAGTTTGCAGTAGGTTTTGTATGTGTGTGTATGTGTATATATGTGTGAGTGTGTGCTAAAAGTAAAACTTCTATGATTCACAATTTGGGTATTGACCCATGTCAGAAAAGCTGTTACTGGTCAACAGATTCTAATGATGTGCAAGGTGTAACACAAGCATTAATTAACTAGTTATTAACATTTGTAAAGCCAAATGTACCATGCAGAAGTCTTCATTTTTATATCAGACTACTACATTAAAACCAATTAAATCGTACTGTCTGGGAAGAAAGTGTTGTCTACAAAACAAAGTGTTGTATAGTCTGGGCCTGTTTTATTAGGAAGGGGAATGGATGCTGTAAGGAACACTTGTGCGTCTTTGGAAAACCTAAGGATTCAGTAGGTGCATCCAGGTTAGAACTCATGAAAAATTGCCTGGTGTGGTGGCACAGACCTTTAACCCCAGCACAGAGGCAGGTGGATCTCTGAGTTCAAAGCCAGCCTGGTCTACAAAGTATGTTCTAGGATAGCCAGAGCTGTTACACGGAGAAACCCTGTCTCAAAAGAAAAAAGAACTCAAAAAATTAGACATTAGTTCTCTTGTGAAGCATACTGCTGGGGGAAATAATTTCCCAGGTATCTAGTCTTCAATAACTTTTTAATATAATATTTTTAATCATTGAGAAGCTCATACCTATAATGTATTTTGATATCTTTACCCCCAGCCATTCCCTTAACTACTCCCAGATCCACCCAGCCCCACCCCTACCATTTTTTTATAGGTTTGAATTTATGCTATCCATATATGCAGGAGTATAGGGCCATCCACCAGAGTATGGTCTACCTGCCAGAGGCCACACCTCTAAGAAAAACTGTCACTCCCTCTAGTAGCCATCAGCCTCCACTAATCAGCTAGGAACATGAGAGCCCATAGTGGATTGTCAGGCAGCCATGGCTACCGTAACTTCATGAGTGCATTGGGCGTGCCATGTCTGGAAGACAGTTGTCCCCATCTTCCCTCTCCTCTGGCTCCTAGAATCTTTTCTCCTCTTCTGTACTGTCCCCTGAGCCTTGGGAGACAGTGTGATACACTCGACCCATTTGTGGATAAGCACTCACTTGGATTTATTCTCCGCACTGATAACCACTGAGCCCTACACAAAGAAGCTCCCTTGATAAAAACTGAGAGCTGCACTAATCTGTATATAAAGATACAAGATTAGAGAGCAGGTTGCTCCTCTATCCACTTAGCAAAACAATAGTAAGTTCACCTCTTTGGCCTACGAGCTCCCCAGCCATGGGTTCTTGCATGCATTTCTTCCTGTGAGGCCTCAATTCAATCAGAAAGCGATAGTTACTGCTATAGCATTTTTGCCATTATTGTACCCATGGACATATCTTGCCAGACCAGTTAGCTACTAAGAACTTTTCAACTTTTTTAGGGCTCTGAGCCTTTAGAAAAATCTTAGAAAAGCTGTATGTTGTATTCCCAGAAAGATAGGATATGCCTATATGCAAAATTTGGTTGATGGTTTCACTGGAACCAGACCAGAAACCACCAGTGACTCACGTGTTCCAGCTTTAATGCCTGATCTTGTCCTGCCCTCTCATTTCACAAATGACTAATGCTTCCCTTAAAGTTTACTAGTCCATGCCTTTGCTGCTGCTCCATGTTTGCAATTGTAAGTTGTAGCCAGACGAAAGTACTTGAGAATCCTTTGATGTACAAAAGATGTTAAACAGTGTAGATGTTTACATGTCTTAAGTAAGCTCATCAGTGATCCATTCAACAAACACTAGCTATATTCAGTTTCCCATGACTGCTGCCATGTGTGTCTGTGTGTGTGTGTGTGTGTGTGAGAGAGAGAGAGAGAGAGAGAGAGAGAGAGAGAGAGAGAGAGAGAGAGAGAGAGAGAGAGAGAGAGAGAGAGATAGGGGTCCGGATCTAGGGGTGGGTCTGTGGTAGCATGCTTGCCTAACACATGCTAGGCTCTGGGTACCATCCACAGCTTTGGGTGAGATGAGATACATTTTCAAAACAGTGAATCAGAGACAGGCAATGAACAATGTTCCATGGGAGTTGTTTTAAATTTTAATATTCAAGCTACTTGAGAAAATTTGAGAGTCTCCATTTATCTGTTCACCTATCAATGGACAAACCATTACTAAAAGGAGGAAACAGACTGGGATGGGCTTCTTAGACCTTCCATGCTTGTGTATAACCTGGGAAGCCTGCTAAAAATGACTGCTGGGGTAGTGTGAAGACCACATTTTGGTTAAGTAATGCTTCATATTCCTCCCTTGTTCTTTTGAAACGTAGTTTGCTCATTGTGTAAAGAGACATCTTAGCTTCTAAAAGTCTTGCCAGAGTATCAGTGATGCTGAGAGTGAGGAGTGCCTGTTTGGGTACCAAGCCCGATGACAGTGCTGACCTGCATTCCGCTCTACTGTTCCTCCTGTGAGCCCCATTACCTCTAGTGAGCTAAGCGGGTGGCTGTGGACAAGAGGTCTGTCGTACAGGATTCCAAAGCTGTTAGTGAAAAACTTAGACTTGCTGAATGTGATGACCAAGTAGGATGATGGGCAGGAGAGGAGGGAAGAGGTTACTCTAAAACTCCAGGAGCTTGTGCCTGGAGAAATGACTCATGATTAAGAGCACTTGGTGCTCTTGCAGAGGACTCAGCTTCAGTTCCAAGCAACCACAGTTAACAGTATGGCTAACAAACCTGTATCCAGTGCCCTCTTCTGGCCTGTGCAGGCACTGCATGCATATGGTGCACTTACATGCCGGGGAAAACCCTGCTACACATAAAAAGAATCTTACAAAACCTCTTTGGGCTGAAAACGGGGTCTCACCACGAAGACTCAGCTGACCTGGAGTTCACTGGGTAGACTAGGCTGACCTCAAAACTTTTGTATCTATGAAGGTGTGTTAAGGTCTCATGGCTCACCACCAGGGTGATAACACCCTGTTCTACATAGATCTACTTTTGGAACTATTAAGTACAATCCAGAGCCAACAGTTTCATCTATATACCGCCTTCCTACAAAGTGTTCCTGCTACACATAAATCTGTACCCTCTTAACAGCCAGTTAAATGGAAACAATAAAAGAGGTCAACCGTGCTTGGTGGCACACACGCAGAGTCTCAGCACTTGGGAAGTGGAAGCAGAAGCATCCAGACTCCCAGGTCACCTCAGCTCCTTAAGTTTGAGGCTAAGGTGGGCATTTTGAGAACTTGTCTGGAAAAGAAATGGTTATGAGTGTTTCTGCTCCCACAGAGGTCCAGATCTTCCTCTAAGTCCAGTTCCTAGGGATCTAGTGACCTCTGGAGACACCCATACACACTTGTGCGTACACACACATGAAAAGAAACCTCTCTACCCCCACAAAAACTAATAATGAAAAGAATATTGTGTAAAAATCCCCTAAGCCCCGAGTCTGGTGGCTACTTTCCTATTGCTCTGGAGCACTGCTGTTGATGGCTGTGGGAACTTAGCCTGGTTCTTTATTTTCCTGCCAGCATCTGTAACAGTTCAGTAAACTTGCTTATTGTAGCACTTGCTCAATCCCAGGAGTTTGGGTTTAAATCAATCAAAACGCCTGGGATGGTCTACATAGTGAGTTCCATGTCAACCAGAGCTATACAAGGAGACCCTGTCTTTAAGGGGGCGGGGAGGGGGGCTGGGACTAGAGAGATGGCTCAGCAGTTAAGAGCACTGGCAGTTAAGAGGACCCACGTGGCAGCTTCTAACTGTCAATAACTTCAATTCCAGGGAACCCAACACCCTCAAACAGACATAAATGCAGGCAAAATACCAATGCACATAAACTAAAAACCTTTTTTAAAAAATGTCTGGGGATATAGCTCAGTGGCAGGAAGTATTCTGATCATGCCTGAGCTCTTAGATCCAATTCCCAGCGCCATGCCCCCCAAAACTTCAAAGTCAAAATTACAACTTTAAGATCTGCATTGGCCCTATTTGTGTTTGTAGAATCAAGCATAAAGTATAATAAGTTGTTGGAGTGGACCAAGCAAAGATGTGGGCGTTACAACCTGAAAGAATCAGGAAGTAGTTCGGACTAAGGCAAAACAGAATCAAATCTGCCTAAAGCTTCAGTAGGTTCAGACAAACTACGGCTGTAGCTGCTCTCGGCTTCTCTGGGGGATCAGCTAAGGTTGACCTGTTGGTGAGCTGCTATGTGAGTGGTTTAGATTTCTAATCTGGTATCATGGGACCTGGTTTAGGAACCTAAGCCAAAATGTTTTTCTCCTAAAGTACCTGTGTTTCCCAAATGAGAGTGTAGTGGCCTGTTATTCTAGCTGGGGCCAGAGGATTGCCACAAATCCAAAGTTTGTGTGGACTACATGGCAGATTCTGCCTCGGCAAAACCTAACATTACCATCATCACAAAAGAAACGGACATGTTCCCAGGTGCCTCCCTGCAGATTCAGTCGGTCAGGACGGTCTCTAAACGGATGACTCAGAATGAACAAGGTCAGAAAACCCTGCTAGGCTCCACTCTCGTGTCTTATCAGGCCCAGCCAGAGCCTGGAGACTTCCAGATAAAGGGAACCAAAACAAAGACCTTAATTAATTCCCCTCAAACAACAAGTTTCTTAAGGATCCAAGGAGAGCCAGAAACCAAGGTAGCTATTAAAGACTCAAGTTTAAACCTGTTACCCGCCCTTAGGGTACTCTCAATTTAGCTGAAACAGACACAAAAATTTACTTGACTGTAGGAGGATCTTGAGTTCTAGGCCAGTTTGGACTGCAGGACAATCATCTGCCTTTAAAAACGAAAAGATAAAAGGCATATAGTTACTGAAAATATTGTGGGAGTACTTTCCTCTAGTGCAGTCCTCATAGCAAAAGCTCTGCGGTTCTTCAGAGATTGGGGGCGGGGGGGGGGCGACTAGAAGACCAGTAAAGTGTCCTGTCTCCAAAGCAGTTACCTGGGCTCTGCCTGTCTCCCTGTGTTTATGTTTCATCCTGTCATGACCCTAGGATGAGAACAGATGGCGGTACAAGGCCCCGACAGCCCAGTCTTGCTAGAGGAAAAACAGCGGGAACCTGTGTGTAATTTCTACAAGGGTTGGGGTTGGTATAAAGAGACTCAAATCTACGGCACTGTTGTATGACTTGTAGGGATTGTGCAAAAGGCAAGGAGCAGCAAGCATCTTAACTGCTGAGCTATCTCGTAGCCCCTTGTTTTAAAGATAGGCCTTACTTTAGGGAGCCTCCTACTTAGTCTGACAGGTTGGGCTTGGAGCTC